GGTCGCTATTGCTGCAGATACTATTTGGTTGAAGCTGTTACGGTTTTTTTAATCTGAATATCAGGAACTAAAGTGCTTCTTAGTCTTTGCAGTATTTGGAGCATCAAAAAAATCTCGCCATTACTAATGAGCAAGAAATTATTAGCTCTGAGTTTTTGCTTGCATCAAAACTCGAAACAAAAAACTAGAGTCTCAGACCTGCCATACAAGAGGAAATGGATTGGTAGAAAGAGTAGTCTACACAATAAAAATGCACTTTCGACGTTTATCGGTCCAGCAAGTGATAATTACGCATCGAGTTATTTAAACTGAATCGAAAGAACACCAGCCAAAAACGATTATTCCGGGAAAAATTCAAATTTCCTGCAGTCTTCATTCTCGAGGAATCGATGCAATTCTGAACTCAATGCACTCAATTAAATCGGTTTGTTCATTTATCAAAAAATGTATGGTGGAAACTAATCAAATGTCTGGATACATGAAAGTCACATTTTTAAATGACGGCACTGGCAGTAAGTTCAATTCAGCATAGGAATCAAAATTGATCATTACCTTTTAGGGAACCTAAGCAGCCATCAAGATTTCGGAAGCCAGTAAAACACAATCGAGATTCTAAAACGAGAAACTTTTGAGAGATATGCAATATTGACACTAAACTGGAGAATGTTGAAACTTTGAACTGGGAAAGGAACTATCGAAACTGCACACATTATGAACTGATTCTATTTTTTGCTGTCTAATATAAAATCGGTTTCAACCAACTGTCGAAAGATATAGACCATGATTGTTTCTCATGTAATTGATCAATTTGATCTATTAAGTTGATCTATCATGCTTAATATGTCAAAAGCGTTTTGAGTGAGAACTTACAAGAAATGATAGCTTGTAAATGAATTATAATTTTTGAGAAATAATGATTTTAAATATTTTTTGCCTGTTCAGCTACAAACAACAAGTTAAATTAAAGCAAAATACAATCTTGTCGATCGCAAAAAAATCTTCATGATTTTTGCTGATGGCCGTGCGTGCGGATTATAACCTAGTCGTTCCCGCCGCTCATCAGGGTTCGAATCCACCCATCATCTATGGTTCGAATCCACCCATCATCTATGGTTCGAATAGTTACCTAGAAGAGTAAATGTTGGGACATACGTGGTTGATCCCCTCACATACAGTTTTCGCGTCTTTTTCGGTTCAAAACGTACATAACATTGAACAATCATGACCGTTAGATTAATTAGCTGGTAGCGTTGACTACTCTTAGTGGTTTGCAGTAAAAACAAACCTGTACGTTTCTTATTTGAAAATGATTCATGATTGACTTCGCCGTTAAATTAAGCTAGGTCCATGGAATTTTTATTTTACTTCAAACTCTGAAACGTTTTCAACTGAAACTTTTTTAAATTCAATGTCTGAAGCGTTTTTTGCATAGGTGGTTCTAATTTCTTAGTTCTGGGAGAAATATATGTTTTCTTGCTTCATAACTTATAACTCGACCCAACGCAATAACTTAACGTGGCATGGCGACAGTTTTTACAAATTGATGTTTTTCAAATCTTTCTAGAGCATGACAAATTCTCATAGAGACAACCAGCGTTTTTGTAGAAGTTGACAAAACATTAACAAGAGTTGTGTGACAAAAGTCCAAGAAGTCTGAACTGAAAGTTCTCTTACTTGTTGGATAATGGTTCAAATGTGCAAAAAAAGCTTTGGTTATTTGAAGTTTTTTTGTTTATTTAAATGCACATCAATATATTAGCATATTCTGATATCTAAACGTTTTGTGAAGTGATTGCGTAGGAAATTAGTCAATTAGAAAAGGGCGGATTTAGGTGGGGGGGGGGTCGTCCGCCCCCCCCCCCATCAGGGATTTGACCACCTGCCGACCCAAGGGGTCCCCACTTTGTACTATTTTGAGATATCCATTTTTGGCGGAGGGAACCTAAAATTGAATTTTTCTTAAGGCGCCTTTGGCGCCAATATTTACTAAATTTGAGGGGGGAGCGCGCGCCGAAAAAACGCCATTTTTTGGTCAACATTTTAAGCAAAAGTGCCTAAAAACGCCATTTTTTGGCATATATTTTTTAAAATTTTGCCAGCGGCGCAGAAAATTTGTCTAAAACAGGGTGTTTTTAGTGCTTTGACAGAGATCAGAAAATCAATTTTGTCGACCTAAAAAAAAAGGTCGACAAAGTTTTCGAGTTTTTTGAAAATCCGGCCCCCCCCCCCCTACCTCGAGAAAATCCTAGATCCGCCCCTGGAATTAGATATGATGGACAGCATTTATTTCAAAAAATGAGTTAAAAAAAAAAACAAAAAAAAATTGGGTAATCAATGTAAGCAAGTTGGGTAAGCAATGAGATCATTGGCTTATTGGGAACATTAGTTCAATTTTGTTTCAGGAACAAACATAACTGAGAATGCCCAGCGCGCACTTTCTTCAGACGGGACAACATTGATTGGCAGATGGCATAAAAAACAGTTTGATTTATTTGTTTTAATTTTTATTGGCAGTATCATATTGCGTGAAATTATGATTGTCGTGTACTGAATTTCATGATAAAAATTGTTTAACTGGAAGTAAAATAACTTAATTAAAAATTTGTCGAAATGAAAATAAAGCAATTTCGGTGATCGAAGTTTTTGGTGTAAAATATTTGTTATAATTGTTCTGTAATAATAACGTAACTGATTCTTGAAAAATTGCTTAATTTTGAAATTGATGGAGATGATTTTACTTTTTAAAGAAGTCTTCGAGGTCAGTTAGCGTGAGTCAGAGTTTAACAGTTCGACGCTGGGAGAGTTACATGATGCCGAATATGGAGTACTAAAGATTTAGAAACTGTTTGACAGTGTATCTGCAGGATAAAAAAATCACAATTTTGCAAACCTTACGTCCTAGCGCATTAACAATAAAAGCCTATAGAATGATAGCCATAATTCTTTGATCATCCATCTTCATTTTGGAATTACATCCAAAATGTTGCAGATGAACGTTGAGTCGTTTTTTTTGGTTGCTGTGAGAGCTTTAGGCAGATTTTTGATCCTTTTCAAAAATTAAAGGAGTCAAAATTACCACCAGAAGTTTTTCATACTCCTCGTGATTTATTTTACGAGAAATTAGTCCACCATTAAGTGTCTTAGCATTAAGTCTCCTAAAATTTAGTTGTAATTGCTTTGATAAATTAAACAAACGGTCTAGAAAAAAGTGAATGAATGTGACTTATTAACAATGGTATTCACACATTTTGCCCCTGACACGTTTTGCCCCTCTTATATGTAGATGCACATTACGCCCCTCACATATTTCGACCCTCATAAATTACTGGCACCTTTCGCCCTAAAAAGTACATTAAGAACGCGGCTTTAATTAACTGTGATAGAAATTAGTGGCGAAACGTGCGAGGACGAAACGTGTGAAATTATTAGGAGAGAAATGTGTGAGGGGCGAAATGTTCCGATAGATTTAAGAGGGGCGAAATGTGTGTGGGGCGAAACGTGGGACATTCATTAACAATATTGTCTTCATCAATATTGTTTTTACAGCCCAATTCACATAAGATATCTAGCTGAGCTGGGATTTATATGCAATTAAATGTAGAAGAAACTGTCACATACAAAATAAAAAAAAAGTTTTTGTGAGTCTGTCAGTTTCAAAACACTCTATCCCAGTATTTCATAGTTCTTCAAATGCAATTCTAAAAACTATTGAATCTGTTATTTGTTCTTACATATTATCCATCCAAAAGCTGTGGTTTTTTTTTATTGTGGTTAAATCTTTAATTTTTTCTAATTAAGTAAATTTTTTCGAGAATGGAAATTTGATGATAAAACGGTTTTGTACCTGAGCCTAAACATTCTATCGGCAAATTAATGACGACGGTGTTGTATGATTGAAAGGTCAATTGTGAAGTCTTTGTGTTTTTAAGGTGTTTTGCCCTGACTCAAAGAAACCTCGCATAAATTTAGGTGAGGTTAATATATCAAAACCATTGTGTTCAAAATTTTGATTATAAAAAAAATTAATAAAGATTTTTCTCTATTGAGAAAATCTGATACAATTTTTTTATACTCAGATTTAAAGGAAATAGGAATCAATTTTTTTTCTTTTCAAACATGCAAAATTGCAAAGGCAGCTACTTAATATGCTTGAACTCTGTATTCAATGTAACCTGCGGATTTATCGGCTAAGGGCGTATTCAGTTTCAAAACAAGAGATCATTTCTTTTTTGGATTTTTTCTTGATTCTAGCAAAACGAGCGGCTACTCTTATATCATTATGGTTTTATCAGTATAAGTATTAGTTCTCTGTTTTTTCTACAATTGAAGCTGTCTGCATGTATGCTTTCATGCAAGTATGTACGTATGTATTTATGTTTGTATGGATGTGTGTATTTATGTGTATATGCACTTGAGTTTGCATCAAAGTATGTATGTATCTAAGTATGTATGTTTGTATGTA